GCTTCGTTAAAACCAGAATCTGATTACCCAGGATCTTGCAGCACCCAGAGATTTTTTCCCTCAGGAGGGGATCAATTTACAATTAGCCTTTAACATTCCTATGAATGAATGGGCCGGTAGGTTTCTCAGAAACCCTTAAGGAGTGTGTTGTCCTCATTATCTACTCATTATCTACTCAACAGATGGGCACAGACTGTAGATGGTGTGTGAACTGTTCTTAAAGGCCCAGCTCCGAATAAGGATTTTTAAAAGCCATCCAGTAGAGCTTTATTCAAAATCCATGATGCATAAGGAATAAATATCCAAATAAGTTTTTTCCAATAAACTCTTCCTTTAAGTGCTTCTCATAAGCTATTTTAAATGGAAGGTGTTCTAAAATTATGTCATCTTAAGCAGAATTTACAGAAAAGGTTTCGCTTTTCCTTGAAGCCTCAGGCTTCCCTCCTCAGTCTTGGGCCCCAGCCTGGTGGGAGGCAGCAGGTGCAGGGGGAGAACTTGGGCATTGGAGCCCCTCAGAACCTCCCAGTTACCAGTGTGAGAAGGTAATTCTCTGAACACTGGTTCACTTACTGTAAAATAGGATAACCAAGAGGTTATATGAGGACTGACTGAAATAATGAATGTAGGTAACCTGACGCGTGATGGGTTCTCAATAAATCTCCAATGACATGGACGTTAACCAAGAGGGAACACTAAAATAAAGCTTTTAGAGACTCTGAAGAGGTGTGAGGTTATTTGGTGGCTATCAGTTCTGCATTGTTAGAGTTCTTGTGTCTATTTTTTATAGTCGTGTCTCGTATCTGATGGTAAAATTCTTCTGGTCTATAACATCTTGCTGCTGGTGAGGTGGTGCCAGTGGGGCCTTGGACAAGGAAAGACAAGAGCCAGGACTGCTCTAAAAGTACAAAAAGGCTCTGGCAGAGGGTACCTTTATGAGGGAAATGCAGGAAATTTAGATTATAAATTATATAGCACCATTTTGGCTTGCTTAGAAAATTGTTTTCTGTTTGGTTCAAAGGTCTTTCTTGGTATTTGAGGTCACTAAGTAGACTGGGTGGTGATGTTGTAGGTGATGTTGAGGGCTCAGTGCTTTCCAAGGTACTTGTCTTCCCTGGAATCTCAGGGAAGGACATGTAACATTGCACAGGAGGACTGCCCAGTTATACTGAGGAAGTCAGGCTGAGAAGCCCCTATCTAGTGACGCAGCAAGCTAATGCAGGTGAAGGCTGGGCTCCTGACTTGGCCGTGCTCACCAGACTGCTCTCCCTCATGAGACCCGCCAATACTTCTAGATACTTGTATAGAAAGCCCAAGAAATGCTGCTTTGAAAGGGGCAGCCCTGCATGAAGGGCAGGGCCTGGGTTTGGAGGCTGACATCCCTGGGTCTGACCCCCATCCTGCCACTGGCTAGTGGAGGACCTGCGGCAAGTTATTCCCTTCTCAGAGCCTGTTTCCTCGCTTTGGGTGGATGTGGCACCTGAGTCCCACTGGCGACTGTGAAAGGGTCACTATACCTGGGTGTTTTGGGTACTCGAGAAAGGTAGTACCTGTTACGATTCATAGGCAGCCTTAAATAGACTTACTTTATCAGAAACTTCGAAGAGATGTAAAGGGTGATTCTCCTTGATGAGCTGATTCACTTGGCCTTCTAAGGGCAGCAACATCCTACTGTGAACTCCCTGATGCCTCTGGCACTCACCGCTGTCTCACATGTATGGCAAGAAGGTTTGCTGGGGTCACCTGAGTTTCATACTTGGAGATTATAGAAACAACAGACGTCAGAGAAAAGTACAGGACTGTGAGTCATCTGGCCACCAGCACACCCAGAGCAGCTTTCCTCTTCCAACACAAAGCCATGACATTGGGGTTCAGCCCTCATTTGTCTCAGACACCTGCGTCTCCTGTCCTCAGCAGACCTGCAGACCGACCTAACTAGCCTGGGTAGGCCACTCCCTGCTGTTTCCTCCACTTACCTTCCCCTCACTGGCATAGCAATCCAGCTTGAACCCCTGAAGGGCTCAGGCCTTTGCTTTAAAGCACTTTGTTTTTGGTCATGAAACACAAAAAGGCTATTGCCACTGTCTTCCCTGTGGTACCCTGCTCAGATCACCAGGATCTAAAAGCCAGGTGCCTCTGGGGCAGGGTGGAGGCCACCTCTCAGTCCTTGGTCCTCGCCCAGATTCAGAGTTTTTTCTGCCACATTAAACCCTCTCTGGGCTGCTCAGCTGCACAGGAAACAGAGGCTTTGTCCCAGAACTGGGCCATGGCTGAAACCCTAAAATGCGCCCCTTGGGGTAACACAGCTGCAGGCAGGGTGCTGCAGGCAGGGTGCTACAGAGTTACTGCACTCAGCACTGTGCTAACTAGTGGGTTCCGAACTTCCCTGCTCAGAGACCTGAGAACACTCAGGCCTCTGTGCCCTGCTTCCTGGGTGTCTGATGGCTCTGGAACCACAGGGGCACCATGAAACATTGGACTCAAGTCCACACCCCATGAAAGGGCATGTCACATAGTCACTGGGATTAGAGGTGGCTGGGACCTGCTTTCTGTTCCCCCACAATCATCCTGAGAGCTGGATGGTACAAATACTGGGCTTAGTTTTCAGAAGGACTGGACAGGAACAGAAAGAAGACTATTTTCCCCGAACCAGACAGATGGGGCCTGGCTGAACTTTCAAATCTGTGGGAGGCAGACAGCCTTTCCAGACATATTCCCAACCCTCCTCTGACACACACACATATCACACATCTACTTGGGTCTTCAGTAGGAGGATTTGTCTATATTCACTCACATGCATGGAGTGCTATATGGAAACTTGAATATACAGAGACAAAGTCACCTACATGTTAACACTATCCTCTGAATGTATTCCATGGCTCCTCCTGCCCCAGGAGTCACAGGGCTAAGCATGGAGCCTGAAAATCTCTGCTCACTTCTGAACTGCTTTTAAGTCTCCTCAGCCCCATCAACTGCAGCCTTCTGATCCATCAGAGAGGCATGGTGACTGTGACAGAGCTCACCGTTATGGATGAAATGAGAGACACCTACACATGATCCTTGAACTCTTACATGGTTAAGCTCTGTAGACAGTGGAAATCCCTTTTGGAAAGC